GTGAAAGCCACTGAGCACCGCCATCTTAACCAGGTCTCTTTCAGACACCAAGAGGTGAATGGAGAAAACGGACAGTGGTTGTGGTTAGACGTGCAGCCACCTCTCCAGATGTAATGATACATCGCACTCCAGAGGGTCTCATATTCTGACAAATATCTTCAGACACATGGATTTCATTTTAATGTGAGGCAACTCATTTACCGAATACCCATTATAAGTGTGAGATTATACATACATCATATTATTTAATCCCAATAACTCTACAGGCTAGAACATTAACACTGTTCTCAAAGAAACTGATGTTTACTCAGAGACTGAGTAAACTGTTCAATGCTTTTCAGCTAGTAAATGCCAGAGCTGGTATTTGAAGTCAAAGCCTATGAGATAAGAAACTGAATTCTAGAAGTAAAGAGACCATGTAGGGCAGCTCTCTCTGCAAAGAAAACAAGACACGAGCAATGTACAGATATCTAGATAAGAATCTCTCAAGGGGAGGGTGTAGCTCAGTGGCAGAGCACGTGCTTAGCATGCACAAGGTCCTGGGTTCAATCCCCAGTACCTCCGTTAAAAAAAAAAACCTAATTTACCCCCCTTCCAAAAAATAGACTCCCTCCCCCACCAAAAAAAAAAAGAAAAAGAAAAGAATCTCTCTCTCCCTTTTTCTAATCCCAGAGTCTGGACTTCAAGTCACTAACTTAAAGCACTGGCTTGGGGTTAAAACTTACTAGAATTGGCAAGAAATGTGACGTGGCCTCCAAGAAACGGTCAGAAACGGTCTACCCTCAAAAGGCTAAGATCTTTGCTCAATCTCAAGCTACTCCGCCATGGCCTGCCTGACTCACAGGACCAAGCAAGGACCTGTAATAGAGAAGCTGGAACCAGGCAAAAAGTAAGAAGGTAAGAGTCCTTTTGTTCGCTCTTCATTTTGATGGTGATGCGGCTCACTGGGCACTCGGGCAGAGCCGGGTCAGCACAAAGCTGGATTTGTTCATTCTCTTTTAAGAACAGATTAAGAAGAACTGTATTAAAAGTACATCAGACAGAGCTGAAAAAGTCATCAGTAATTCCCTGACAGAAAACAGAGCGGGTAACTCAAAGATACGGTGGGTACAACTGACTTACAATCCCATTTCTGTGTCTGGTAGAGAAGTGCTCCATTGGGTGGGTGGGCGTATCCACATTTTTTGTGCCCATCCTCTCCTCTTACACTGTAAGATCAGTGCGGGGAGGAATTTTATCTTTAACCCTTTGCAATCAAAGACTGATACAGAATAAAGGACTTGATGATTATTTACTGATAAAAGCACCTCTAACATAAACATTTATAAAATAGAGATATATAATTTCTCTTCTGTACCTTGACACAGAAGAAAGGAGGAAAGAATGATCTTCAGAGAACCCCACAGTCCCTAAACGTCATCTCTGGGAAAGAAACGAAGTTCCCTCCGGAGCCTCACCCCCCTTCAGTGCTTCACATCCGCACTTTGCCCACCAGACACAGACATACCAGCCAGGTTTCTGGAAATACGCCTTTTCTAGAAGCTGGGAGAACAGTCTGCCTTAACACTAGCCATCTTCCTCCAATTCCCCACCCCCGGCGACGGCCTTTACCTTCCACGGGGTTGGTTTTCAGTTCAGCGCAGAGATCCATCACACCTCCGTAGTGGGCGTTGATGTGGTTTATTGCGTCAGTTGAACGCAGCTCCATGAGCCTCCTCAGGTCCATTACTGTGCAGCCAAAATCCCTGTCACGGCTCTCAGCTATCGAGTTGGCCGGCAAGGCGTGTCCTGATGGGTTCGTCATTTTGCCTGCTGTTACCAAGCCCCTCGACCAGAGAAAATGTGAGGTCTGCCTTCCACTGGTCGGGGTCTCTTGACTCTCCGCCTCACTTCTTCCTACTTCTTGCTTCTCTGGGAGCTCGGCTGGGAAATAGATCGACTATATCTTGTGCAATAAGCTTCAGAGCAGCAGCCTCCAGCCCAGATCCTTTTGGTGTGTGTGAAAAGCTTGGCAGCGAGAGGAGGAAGAGGATGGGGGAACTAAATGGAAGCCGGACCACGTGTCACAATGAGTGGTGTCCCCAGGTGGTGATGGCAGCGGTTGTCCATGGTAGGTAGGTTCCTTATTAGATCAACTTGCCCAGATGGAGGGGTAAACAGGATGTGCACGTTACCATGGAGGCAACCTAAGCAACAACCAGCAACTGCCGTGGTAGAGAGGCGGCAGGAGGAGGAGGAGGAGGAGGAAGAGGAGGGCTCCTTGGATACCGAAGACAACTGGATCTCTGCAATAAAGAGGCAAAGACAGACAAAAAGAAACAATTAGAGCAGCATGGGGAGCCAGCATCTGCTCGGGCAAGAGGTACTCATTCTGGCATAAGGGTTTAGGTGACAGTTGATTTGATGTCTGAGCTGAGCTGATAGCTGAGGCCCGAGCTGAGGGAACTGACCTAGGAGAGGCCCCCTTCTCCGTGCGAGGCCCCAGCCGCCTGGAGACTCCAATGTAGAGACACAACTTCAGATACACCCCAGTCTCCATAGCTCACCTCTTCCAAACCTAGCAACACAAATCCCACCGCTTCAGAAACTTGGAAGTAAGGGCTCTCCTACTCTCCCTGTCTGTCTGAGGGGCCCGTGACGGAGCCTTCTGGTCTGACCCCACCTCTAAGAGGTGAGGAGAGCGCAGAGAAGGAGCCCAGACCAGAATGAGCTGGGGGGCGGTCCGCCACCTTCCCCTACCCCATCAGCCTCCCCTACCCTCAACACACACTTACAGACCAGAAGGCCAACCTGATAGAAGATGCCCAAATCCCCTGTGGCCCCTCTGAGTACTCGGCCTGATGCTGTACAGAAAGTCTGCAGCCTGCGTGCTGTGGTTATCAACAGGTCAGGCGCTCAGCTCAGATCCTGGAGCCAAGCCCCA